TATTATAGAAATTTTATAATACAATTTAGAGCCGCATTTGAAGTGTTGAATTTTAGATTTATTACACGTATAATTTTATTGTACACAAATATAAAATTTAAACCAAATAAAATTCTACATAATATTATAATACAAAAGAGGAAAAATTAATATTAATAAATTCAAAGTTTCTAAAATGGATTAATTGTTGTGATTATTGTGTAGGTAAAATGTTGAACCACATGCTAACTGCTGTTATCATGCAAATAGGTTGGAACTATTAGTCTTAAAAAGCATAAGATAATAAATAATATATTAAGTTTTAACATTTCATGCTATTAAATGAAAAATAAAAATAAATGGTTATGAAAGGAAAGAAAGGATATATATACCTAGTGAAATATCTCTTACCAACAAGTAGTTCAATTATGCTTATGCTGCTTAAATTAATACCTTCAGATGTTGGATCTTCATGAGTGTAACAAAGCATATAATCTGTAAACCCAATGTTTACTGTACATTATGTATAAAAGGAAGAGAGAAGAATAATTCAACCAGACTCAATGGGGAATTATCTTAAACCATTTTTAAATAAGATTCTGGAAGGAAAAATAATACTTACGATCTTGATCTGTTCCAGTACACTCCAAACGATCTGCTTTACTRCGCATAAATGGAAACATACGACTTAAAGCAAAATTTTTCTTTTTTTTTTCCAAAGTGGAAGTCTTCAATAAATAAAATAAATTTGTAGTAGCTTTTAAATAATATTAAACCACAGTAAAAAATATTTACTTTATCAATAAGAACTGGAACATGTCCTTGAAATTTAACTGTACGATCTCTTGACTTTTGTTTACGTTCCCAACGCTTTTTTGAAGGTACTATACCAATACGATCCTCTTCACCAGCTGGAACTAACTTTTTAGCTTGCCACCATTCATCGTCATTAGCATTAAGTATGTGTAGAATGCTACCATATGTAAATGATATGCCACGGCTTGGAAGACCATCATCTCGGTTTGGATCGTAATCAAACAGAGCTCTAAATATTTTATAGAAGGTTAAATGGTTGTGGTTGTAAATGTTCATTACAGATAACTAATTAATTATTACTTGTTATTATTAATRTATACAGAAAACATGGATTTAAAATTAATTAAAATCAATGTGTTTTATACATGTATATTAAAAATAATATTAAATATAACAATTATTAATATTGCATTTTTAATAAATTACAATTATATAATATACCTTGTATTAATTAACTTAATTTTTGATTGATAGTGAACTATAAGAATACACATGGGATGTTTAACAAGTTGAACACTAATAATGACATATAATAGTGAATCCTACTATTTTAATCTTAACTATATTTTGAGACTAAATACCTGACAAATAACTGTAATTTTTGAGAAGGTCTTGGTAATGTGCTTGAAGACACAACAGCTTTTTTCATTATTTGTTCTTTAATATCTGCTAATTTAATTTGGAGCCTTTGGTATTCTTCTGGCCGTTGTTGAGCTATAATAGTAACAATTGGTCCATCACCCTAGAGAGAAATTCAAAATTCAAAAATAATATTACATAAACCAATTATTCAAATTGCATATAATAAAAMAAATAAAATTACTTTTAAAGCTATAGCAGCATCATCATGAGTGGCATTTAGCATGTCAATTGCATTAACACTTAAAATACGATCACCGGGCTCTAAAATGCCATTTTGATCGGCTGGACTACCAGGTGCCACATAAGAAATAAATATACCTTCTTTATCTTCCCCACCAATTATGTTGAATCCTAATCCTTCATCAGACCTTCGAATAGTAGCCACTTTTTCAAKCCTGAATRATTCCACATTTTTAATGTTATAATAAAATATTAAAATAATATATAATGTACATACATTAATGATTCGCTGCTTGATTTAGATGAAATGCTGGATTTAATTGGTGTTTTTGGTTTTATATAGCGCATACTAAGAGATTCTTTCACTAAAAGTTATAGTAATAAAAGTATAAATACATAGGTGTATTTTCATAAAATTAGAAAAATAAATTTACAAACCAATGACAAGTATTACTTTATCGCCAGTTTCTTTAAGTGCAGCAACTGCTTCTTCATGAGTAACATTTTCTAAGTTTACATCACCATTCTATAAATAAGAACAACAAATAGTCAATTCATGACTTTTATTTATGTTAACAAATAGTGTTTAATTAATTCTTACCAGTGTGTTTTTAACAGCTATCAATTTATCACCTACTTCCATGCGACTATCTTTATGAGCTGCACCCCCTTCTAAAATTTTTGTAACATATACTCCACTATCTCCAGGTAGATGAACATTACCAACGCCTCCAGCAATTGTGAAACCCAAACCTCCGTCCTCTTTTTCTAATTCAATTTCAGTTACTGTATATGATTTTTCTGGTTCAACAAATGCATCCTTCTTGCGCCGTTTTACATGCTAGTGTTTTGTAAAGATTAAAAATTAGTATTTAATWCACAATAAATATTTATAAACAAAACATACTAATGTAACAACATCTCCAGCATTTTTTAGAGCAGTAACAGCAAAACTATGTGGAACATGTTCCAACGATTGATCATTCACTTTTAAAATAATATCATTAGCACGAAGACCAGTAGCACCTATATCTGGACTAACTCGAGTGACAAGAACTAATGACTCTGAATCCACACCGCCAGCAATACTGAAGCCTAGGCCTCCAGAGCCCCGTTCAACTGTAATTTTATCATACTCCCAATATTCATTTTCATCATCCTAAATAATTATTAAAAAATAATTATAAATAGATACATTAAAGTCATTAAAAACATCTTAACTATTGTATAATAGATATTATAATGACAATTTTAATAACAATAATAAAAATATTCTCTATTCTGAACAAATAAATTCCAGTGTACATAAAATGAACTAATATTTACAGTAAATAATTGAAACAGAAAAATGGTGTGACCAATCTATACTTAATATTATAAAGCTGAAGAGCTATAAAAGTTTGAACGCACCAATCTCAGGAAATACTGGTTTKAATTTAAAAATTAATAATTATTTTCTTGTTGGATTGTCCATTAATCGAGAAAGGCTATAGGCTATATAASATTTTTTTAAGTCCACAGGTTAAGCAGGAACATTTGAATTTGAAGAATTTAAAAGAAATTTATGAATTTGCTATTTAAAAATCAGTAGAATTATTGATGCATATTAAAAATTCTATGACACAGTGGCACTTCAATAGGATTAATGAACTAAGTGTCCAGAGTTCAAACCAGTTTCAATGGCCCAAACTTTTTGCACTGCTTTCACATTTTTTTATCTTTGTACTTATTACTTTTATAGTTATTTTAATTGGTCAAGAATTGGTCGCGTCTCTTGGGAGGTTTTAATGTATAATACATTATAATAGTTAACAGGGTCAGCTTTAAATAATAATATAATAATATTTGATCTGTTCATAATCTACCTATCTATATAAAAATGGATTTGTATCTGTTTGTTTGTCGTTTATGGATTCTGAATAGGCTGGACCGATTGAATGAAATTTGGTACATAGATATATTAGACCTATGGACAGAAGATAAGCTAAGTTGAAAAGTGATAGGCCCAACTCCGGGAGTTGCTCAAACTAACATTTTGAGAGTTACGATRGAAATTTATCATTATGCATAAATCATTTTGCTCTTTTACTCCTATAATAATTAGGAAATGTAGGTTGTCCTGAGTTTAAATACAATAGTGTTCCTATTTAAATAAACTAAATTARTTTTCTATTTGTCTATATTTAAAAACATRACATTATCATCACATTAATCTTAAAAAAAGTTAAATCTTCCTGAAGAAGTAGACTGTTATAACAAGATAGAATTGGTTTAAACAATTTTAAGTCATCCAATGCCCGTCTAAAGCATTTACACTGCTAATAAGCAAACTTAAGTTTTGTCACCCTTTATATACAAACTATATACTAAGTCAAATATTTTTAAATGCCACCCTAGGTGTGAGTCTATATTATCTTTCCTTTGACCTGACTCATTCAGTAGTAATAAAAATTTGTAGAATTTCAGATGACTAAAAAAAATATTGATAAAAAGCAGAAATTATACAGGGGATAAGTGATCATACTGAGGTTCACATATTACATATATTGTCTGATATGGGAAGATTGTGACAAAAAAGATATAGAAGATTTCTTTCTATATGAAGAATGGCATATATTAGCACAAAATYGAGATGAATGGAAGCGTTTATGTATGGATCTGTGATCTAAAAGATCAGAAACAAAAAATTATATATATATATATATTGTCTGATAGAAGTCTCCCATCCAAAATTTTGATTTATAACAGTTAAAAATCAGTGAAACCACGAAAGAATTTCACAAAACCCATATGATCCAACTGATCTAAGTTTTAATAATAATAAATTATGATTTACTCTTCCAAAAGTTGTATTCATTGTTATCATTTATCTATAATATAATTTTAAATTTCTCAAATATTAAATTTTTGACAATTAATCCTTTTACAATAATATTTATACAATCTTATAAAATTTACATTTCCAGCATCAAAACCACACAAAATAAATATTAAGTGAAATGCCCGGTGAAATGTATTCAGTAACGTCCACTATTATAGTAACCAAACATGTGTTATAAAATGTACTTTCTGTGATCTTAATTAATTAACAATTATTGAATTATAATAGAATTAAGRATTACTTACAGTTTCAAGATTAGATTCTTGTTCAGTAGCATCACCACACGACTGATAACCAGTATGTCCACTCAACCCATTAATCTTTACAATTAAAATATATATTATATAAGTATAAACACAAAATAAATATTTTTCTTTTAAACATACTTGACAACTGATATCCACAAGTTCTTTCTTTTTGTAATCTCTATGGCATTCTGTTTCTAAAGGTTGAAAACTAAGATCACTCTGTCAAGACATATATTTAATAATTAKAATTATTAATAACATATATTTTAAGCTAGATATATAAGTATAATAGTTTTTATTTAAATTAAACATCATATAATRTTTCAAAAATTATAGGTTAAAAATTACAACCATGACCCTAGTTATTATAAGGAATATATTTTAATACAATTTATTAAAATTTGTTTTAGGTTTAAGTTGTATAGTTTGTAATACTTTCATATTATACTAAATAGCAACTTAATCATTGACTGTGACTTTGAGAATGTTAAAAAATCATAATAAATTAAAAAATATAAGAWGAAAATTAGTTTGTGTATATTTCTAAAAGTAAAAAGAGTAGGGCCATTTTCATGAAATATGTCATGCTCTTAGCATATCCACGCGCGAATCCAGAATAGATTTATGGGAGAAGGGGGCATCATGGATAAAATTTTAGCCAATCGGCAAGGCAAAGTGTTTTGTTAGCCTGCCGAAAACAGACATTCTAGAATTTGCTATCAACCCTTGCTCCCCCCCCCCTTGGATCAGCACCTGAGCATATCCAAACTACCGAAATAATTTATTTAATTCAAAAATATCTTTAAAAATAAAAAAATTCTATAAGAATATWGTTAAACATAAATTGAATAATTAAAATAAAATTATAAATATTTTCTGTTTWTTATATTACACATACAAACAATTAATCTTCAGTAGGTATCTATAGTTGAGAAGATAAAGTCTATTTTTACGGGTTTTATTTACAGAAATTTACATTTGTCAAATATGTATCTAAATAAATTTGATTTGTTAATATGTATGTTATATATAAGGTACCGTTTGAGCCAATACAAAAAAAAAAACTACTGATGTTCTATAGTTAATAACATTTTCTATAGACACAGATATTATAAAAAAAGTACATTCCAATATTGTCCCTTGTTTATATTGTATTTATTTAAATAAATATGAATGTACTTCTAAGAATAGGATTGAAGATTTGTTTTTTTAATATAATCAAAAATTGTAAGTTGTAATTACCAAACCAACTTTAGCATCAAATTGATCCATAATATATTTCTGTGCAATTGATATATCTTCATCAGTTACAGAATGACTTTCATCTTGAAGTGCCAATTCATAAAATTCTTGTATATCTAGAACAATAAAAAAATAATATGAGTCAAGAATCAAGATAGAGTATATTATTGTTGCACAAAGTGCCATTTTACATTATCCCGCTTAACACATAAGAGGGAGTGGATAATATTACAGATTTCAGTTTATATATTTGTTACAATTTACAACCACATCTAAAGTGTAATATAAAATTTGTAAATAATTAATAATAATAGATATCTCATTAAAATATTTTGAATTATATTAAGTTGGCTCACACAGTCACACCAAAAATTGATAACAGCTCTTAAATATATTATATACATATTTGACCAATAGGCAATAGAGTTTTCTTTTAAGTTCCAGAGTATAATTACTTAATATATTCTTACTAAGCAATTGAACATGAGTAAAAACATGATAGTTCTTAATTTTTGTAAACAAATAGTTAAATAACCTATATCATTGACTTTATAAAATCTATGGTTAAATTTGATTAAATAGTATAAMAAATAATTGAAGTAGTTAATGTGTGAAAAATTACATAAAAATGAATTACCGACGAGAGCCTGAAACAATCTGGACTTAAAGACGCCAATTACTAGCTGCATGACGACTTGAAGATCATTGTTGGGTACAGTGGAGAGTTTTGCATGGTAGTCTTCCAGGAGGGCTAAGGCCCTGAGGGTTTCTAAGATAAAAAAAAAAGTGAATTAAAACATAAAATAAAACAGGATCTAATAATAAAAAAATCGAAAAACGAGGGTTTTATAGAAAAACAATTATATTATTGTTATTTGTTATACTCCACAACATCAATAATTTGTTTAAAATTTTTTACAAACAGCAATGACATGGTTGATATATTTACCGTCTTGTTTACAGACTGGCATTTTTGGAGTATTAAGCCCTTTGTATGTAGATATATTATTGTTAATTCGTAATGTGAATAGGTTTTAATTGAATCCGTTGAATAATAGGAATCTACAAGGCGGTATTGGTGGTGGCCAACAACCTAAAAAGAGTGAAGGACGCACACACACGCACGCACAGATCAAAGGGAATGGACGACGGCGACGCACTAACGTCAGGCGCGAGAGTGTGAGACGGCGCGGAAAAATCAATCGCGTCAGCTGAGCAACGTTTGTGGGTCACGGTGGCGAGGGTAACGTTATTGCAGTTGTAGCTACTTGATTTAATAACTGTTTTTTTCCCCTACGATCTCGGGCTCTCTTATRTCCATGCCCAATGGTTCTGGCCAATTAGGTAGGAATAGACTAACACTAACGCAATGATGATGATAAATTATATTGAAATATAAAATGTGTGAAAATATTTAAATATAATAAAATTATACGATAGCGATTCGAGTTCCCGAGGAGACCATTTTATAATTTACAATTAATATCCTAAATCTTACTTGTTTGCGGAAAACTGTCCGGGGTCAGGGGTGTGGTAGATGCTAGACGCTAGTTCCTTAAAATAGACGGTGCTTAAAAATAAACTATTGATACACGTTGCCCCTACCACATGTCATCATGTCATCACCACTGCCCGTGAAACCTACGGGCAGACGACAACGTGCAGCGTACCGTGTACTATAATGGAGATAAATCGCAAAATAACTTAAATTAATCTATTCTGAGCATCTTAGGATCTTAGGATTAATAATGTCGCATTTCGAAAATTAATGCACTGCGTAATGTATATGTAAGTAGTAAGCTCGTGCTGAGGTAATCGCAAAAACAGACAACCTGATCAAATCAGACAGCTCAATTTTCTTAGTCAGTCTTGAATCTTGAAATTCGCTAAAGTTAAAACGTATAGGTATTACAGAGTACCTACAACATGTCAACATACATGTAAATATGTAATATAATAAACATATTTCAAATGTTATATATTATATACCTAATCATAAATCATTATGACCATATATCTGTTTATAAACAGAAAAACTATAAATATATCGAACCTGGAAGTCATCAGTAATTACACCTTATCCACAACTTCCAAACAATAGAACTGACTTTAAAGTTCAAATACATAGGTATAAATAAATAAATATTTAAAATAATATTCACAACAAAATAATATCAAGTTAAAAATAATATTTAATACCTGTTAGAAAAACTAAGTCCAAACTTCCATCTAGAAGACCGAAAACTACTTTAAACTAGGGCTACATAATATAATGAACAATCAACCATACCTAATGGATGCGAAACGAAGTTGATATCAAAAAGTGTCAAGAAGAAAATAATGACCATTAAAAGAAAAGTACTACACCGTATCTATGACCTGTTTGCTAAAAATGGATAATAATTAGGTACTCAACGTCCTAACAAGAACAAACCTAGATGCAGTGACAGATTTTAGCCTAGGCCCTTGAAGCTTTGTAGGGAATTTTTTTTTGACCAAATCAAACAATTTACTTCTTTTTTTTTTGGTGACTAGGGGAGGGGGGTGTATACCAGTAAAAGCCTAGGGTGTTATTTGTGCTAAATCCAGTTCTGGTATAAGTCCACCGTCCACAGGTTCCAATTATTTAAAAAATCCGCCATAGGCTAAATCAGGGGTCGGCAACCTTTTTACCTACACGGGCCATAATTTGTTTCAGTTTTTTTATGAGGAGTCGCATACAAAATTAAAATATTAAAAAATATAATTTTAACATATAATACTAATATATTATTACTGATACCATAAATCATATTATGTGCTTAACATTACGGATGTCCTTATTAACTAATTTTTAATTAAAAACATTAGTAGAAAAAATTTAAAAGTTTAAAAATWATTATTAATTAATTCTTGATTGACTTTTAATACCTAAATATTAAGTTACTAGTGTGAACTTTTAAAATTATTTATTTTAATCTGTCTTAGATCACCAGTAAGATTGTCAAATTTTAATTTATGCTCTGTTTCATAGTGACGTTTAACATTATAYTCTTTTACAGAAAAAATGTTTTTTTGGCAAATTAAACAAAATACATAAAAAAAAAATAAAATTTTGTTGAATGTACGATTTTCATCACTAATTTTACATTTTTTTGAGATTAAATTGATAGTTTATTACAAAAAGATGAAATTTAAACTTCACGTTGGAATGTTTCGATTAGATTACGAAAATACGATATCGCTCATAGCTTTGTTATAATATAGGCAGTAGTCATGATTAAATATTATTTATAACAATTTAAGCTATAAAATTGGAATTTTAAACACCATTAAATATATTTGGAGGACCGCGGGTTGCCGGCGCCTCGCCTGTGCTAAATCACCAAGACACCAACTCCTTCATTTTTTATTTTATCTTATTCTTATTTGTGTTATTTTCTATATTAATTAAAAATTCTCGATGTAGTAGGATGACAGACGACAGTGTCACGTCAGTTACCACACCAGTACACCACCTTTGCTTGTTAAGTGGTATAATATTACATCGACTATAAACGCCTATGTTGTATAAAAGCATGAGATATCACACTTGGCGCGTTTTTTTACCGTGGTGTCCCCTATAAGACTAGTCCACACTCCACATCATAAGCGAGAACACACGAATGCTGCGTTGGTCGACTGTTATAATATTGTAATTCACATAAGAAAATTTTAAAAACCCCTAAATTATCTTATAAAATAATATTAGCAAAACGATCGACATTCGGCGTATATGACTTTAATTATAAGTGTAGCAGACGCCAAGTAATTATTAAAGCTTCTACTTTCCATCAATACAACTATATAGTAGTATAGTACTATACACTACAAGTAGTACAAGTTGTTGGCTTATGCAGTATGCACTCATTGCAAAAAGTGTATCAAGACAAAAACGCTATTACAGAACTTTTTTTTATAATTAATAATAATTGGCTTTATTTGAAAAATTACAATCTATACAGTATGTACAAATGTACAATAAGTAATATTAATAATTTTACAACAGTTGACAATGAATAGTCACACGAGGAGGAAATCACACACTTGTGTCACAAGTGACACCTCTTACATTTATAAGTTTTCACTTAAGTTATCAAATCACGRCACCATTTTCTCTTAAGGCGTCTGGTTCTGGTTGGGTTACCTGGAAGTGTTATTGAAGCTAACTCTTTAATTAGTTGGTTGGGAATATTTTGAAGTTTGGCGTGGAAGCGTTTGTAGTAGATAGCAGCTGYATTGTCGATGGAAGGTAATTTGAGGTCGGAGTTTAGGGTCTCGTTCGAAACGAACCAGGGTGCACCAGTGATTACAATTTACAGAACTTATAAATTATAAAAGATTACCGACATGTATGAATATTATTATGTTTATATTTCAAGATACACAATCAAGAATATAATTATGATTATGAATAATAAATTATACAAGAATAATAATGTATTTATGTACAAATATAATAATTAAAAATATATACATATTAATCATATTATTGTATATGTCCGTCACACCAGATTTATATAGTATTGATATAATTAGATCTAATTTGTATTCGTGGCACAGAATGGATGAAAATGAAATTTCAAATATTTCGTGGTCGTCGTGGTTAGTGGTTAGTAATCGCTTATGTAATCATGTTACGAAAACAACTGATCAGGGAAGGAATATGATTTTCGATTACTTGATTGCGTCCAAGTCAGTCAGCTGTTGTTTCCTTTGTGATTAAATAATACAAAATCTCGTTTTYCAGACTCCAGATAGTAAATACCATGATTAACTAATCATGTTAAATAGTAGGTAACAAAGCATTGTATTTTTATTATCTTTTTTCTTCTATTTTGTTTTTTCCATCTTAAATTTCTATTAGTTCCGAGGTTCCGTCGTAGAAATTGTTTAGTGCGATAGTTGTATTAAGTCGGTTTTTTCTTACGATCTTCATCCACACGTCAAAAATGTCGTCGGGTTCTTGCGGAACAAACACCAAGAAACAGAAACTGCATCACCATCACCAAGCGTCGTTGGATGTCAACGGTGGTAGTGGTAGTGCCTCAACAGCTCTGCTTGATGGTGTCGTTCAAAAAATCACTACCCCAGCAATGGGGTATTTCTGTTTTGATACACTTTACTCCTATCTTAACAGTCTGGAGCCCCCCAAGAAACCAGATTTCACAAATGACCCATTGTAAGTTCAATGGGAAAAGGTAATATTGAACCGTATGCAATAAAAAATGTTCAGAAAACATTGGGTAACATTTTTGTGCACCTGCAGTAGTTAACCCATTAACCTTGTCACTTAAATTTATACCCTGTTGTAATAATGATGTAGTCATTGTCAGTTTTCCTCATTGCTTTTTATTTATTTTTTCTCATAGTAGTAGGTAGGGAATCTGTTCTGAAATTAATGTGGTTCTTATATAAGTAATGTGATTGTTTTTGTTGTAGTCCTCTGTTTGTAACATGGGAGACTGGAGTAGACAAGAAACTCAGGGGATGCATCGGCACATTCAATTCAATTGCTTTGCACAGTGGCTTACGCGAATACGCCATAACAAGGTAAACATAAATATTGCATTTTGAAAGATATTAAAGACATTTTCTAAACATGACAAAAATTCTAAAATCTAAGTATTATTTAAGTTTATTTTTAAGATATAGAGGTAAAGAAGTACCAAAACTATTTAAACATAATATGTGTTAATTTTAATTCTTTGGGGATTTTGAATGCTCATAATATTATAAAATAATATCCGTTGCTTTATTAGCTATTCTAACCTATTTTACCCATAATTTTGATTTGAAGCTTTTGAAAATTACTTTGATTTTTGTGATAAAGTGGATTATAAGCTTATATTAAATTTACTTCTTTCAGACTCCCATTCCAGTTTCAAAACTAAATTTATTAACAGGCTTTCTTGGTTTTGCCATGGTTATTTTTAGTTCAGACAACTTAACATGAAATTAAGTTTAATATTTTGTAAATGTTTGATAGTGATAGTGAATAATAAGTTATGAGGAAAAAAATTAAGTGTGTATGTATACACTTGAAAAATGTCCTATGACCAATGCAGAGTAAAGATAGATTGGTAGATTCAAATAATTTTTTCACAATAAAAGCATATGTTTATGGTTAAATTGTACAATTTAAAGTATGGTTTTATAAAAATTTGTTTAGAATTATTACAACTTATATAGTGTTATAAAAACTATAGTGTTTTTATTTAATAATTAATAAAGTTTCAATGTATGATTTTTGTTTAATAATTTTATATTTTTCTTGAACAGTGCACTGAGAGATTCACGGTTCAAACCAATCTCAAACGACGAATTGAACCGATTACATGTAACCATATCGATATTGTTACACTTCGAGGAAGGCAGAGATTACAACGATTGGGAGATCGGCGTTCACGGAATACGCATTGAATTTCAAAATGAACGCGGAATGAAGCGAACTGCCACTTATTTACCAGAAGTTGCTGAAGAACAAGGTAAAACAAGTAGTAGTTGTGAATGATTATACTAATTTTTCTAGTTTTATATAAGCTTTTTATATATACTTGTTAGTTCTGATAAATTCTCTATTTTCCTCTTTAAAACTGATGTAAAAATGTTTATTTTTCACAGGTTGGGATAAAATACAAACAATTGATTCACTCCTGCGCAAGGGAGGTTATCGCGGTCATGTGACACCCGAGACTCGCCGTTCATTAAAATTGACTAGATACCAAAGCGAAACTGTATCAGTCAGTTTCCAAGATTATATGAACCATGTACAAACTCTACGTTGCTAGCAGCATCTTTGGGGCCAAAAAGACTCAGTGGCCCCTCATATACCAACACTGCCTATTTTTAAACATCCAAGCATATATTCAACATATGCAAATCCCTTATTACAATCAATGTATTTCAAACAAACATTGCCAATTTATTATAATTATCCAACATAATATAAAATYAGATGACCAATAAAAAGTAATAAGTTGCAAAATTATAATTAGTTGTTATGATTTAAAAGTAAAAAATATATAAAATATGGGCCTATTCCCCATTTTTGATGGTTTTTGTTAAATAATTAAATAATCATATTTAAGAGTTGACTAAGACACATTCAAAGTATATAATTATTATTAATTTAATATACTGACATTTCTAATTGTAATATTAAAACGAATATTTGTTTCCATTTTACTTTAAATTATGTGTAATAGACAATAAACTCCTTAAGAGGATGTCCTTGCACTATTTGTTTTCTTTCTTTAACTCTTATGTAACAGTAAATTGATATTTATAGTCGGCGACACAAAAACTGTAGAGTGACCGCAATGATCCTAACAGATTATTCGTAATAGTGGTCATTAAACCGTTTCCCGCACTTTTTAAAATATTTCGTATTTATATAATTTTTTTTATTTGTTAATATAAAAATGATGATTATTTAAAGAAAAATTAAAGTATTATATAAAAGCTACATACACATTTAGATTATGTTCTTAACTTTAAGTTTCATAATAAGTCAATTCATCCTACTAATATACACTTAACACAAGATTACTTATACAGAACAGAAATATGCTATGTCGTCCTTAGGTCAATGATAGGAAATAAATAGTGCGCTTACATCATCTTAATTCAAATTTAACAACTATTTATAAATTATTGTATTTTCTTTTATATATTTTTAAAATAAATATTTATTAATAAGAAAAAACAATCATCTAATTTAAAAATATTAACCATTAAAATTTTGAAAATCATTCAAATTTTATATTTTAAAATTTAAAATTATAAAAAAGCCATTAATATTTATAGTTTATTAATTATTTTTAAGTTAATTTTATAAAAATTCTACTTTTCCATAATAATAGTTACGTTAAATACATAAAAAAAAACAAATATTTTTTGATTTCACATATTGAGTTAGATGTTTAAAAAATATTTAGCTTAAAACTATATTATAGTTAATAATTAATATGTATTTTTTTTTAATTTAGTTAATACATATATTATTTATTTATCTAATTATCTTGGTTGTAACCAAATATATTACATTTTAAGACAACATTTTATGAAGAATAATGGTTATATTTTCTTATGAGTGTTGTAAGCCTTATTATGTGTTCACTAATTCCAAAGGAAGTTTATTTATATAAACGTGGTTTTAGGTTTTTTATCAGACAATTTTTTTGATTAGCATTTAATTTAATTATATATTTTTAATCTATAACTATAAATTGTCTATATTCTTTTTATTTAAAAAGTACCTCAATGATTGACTTGTGTTCTGAAGCACAGCAGGCAGATGCTTCACTTGATTCATAASAAATGGTTACCACCTGATAAAAACTGGTCACAGCTGGGGTTCTTTAACAATTTGAATGTAGTATAAACTACATAGATTGATCAATGATCATTATTAATTTTATATTAGTTATAAAATATTGTATTATTACTCACTAATTTTATTGTTTTGCTAAATATATTGCAATTCATGTGTTTTTCTGTCTTATGATATTATGCTTTATACCATTATTATAAGCAGAAAATATGTTTATGTTTTATATCAGTGATTCTAAACCGGTGGGACACGAATAACTGCCGTTTTGCCCAAAAAAGTGTTTATTTTTATTATACAAGTTTTAAGTATAAAATACAAATAAYATTTTTATAGCGTCATGATGTGATGGTAAAAGCCACAAATAAGAAAATTAACTGTTAAGATAGGCTCATTCTTAGTTTATCTTTAGGATTGTTACTTTTTCATAAATTCATTAACTGATTTAAGTGTGTCCCTATTTCTAAATTAGGGTGTCTTCATAAAAGTATTGAGAAGCACTGTTTCATGTAGCTGTTAAAGAAGTATATCAAATTTTACCTGCAGCAAAGCTAAAAAAATCATTTGTTGCAAGGTTTTAAATTATATATCCACAAAACTATACTAAATTAAATATATACAATTATTTCTAGATGCACTAGGACGTTATTGTATCCTTTTACCATGATGGCAACCAATACTTCAATATTCATTCAAGTACATAATATTAATTTAAAACATAATTTAACTAAAGGTGTTAATTAAACAATTTAATTTAATGTGATTTTTTGATGGGAAAAGATTACAATTAATAAATTCTTAAAGTCTAACAGATGATAWCCTGTTAATATACAAAAATATATATTTAGGTTTTGAATTGATTAAAGGAATTTAGATCTAGGCATTGTTCTATGGAAGTAGTTGAATGGAGTAGTGACTATTAGACTAATGTATCTCTATTGACCAACCATCTAACATATTGATTTTTTCTAAAGGATTTTACATTTGCAGTTAAACAATACTTTTACTTTATACTTCATTTAGGTATAAATGTGTAATACTAAATTTAATGATTATAGTATTAAAAATATGCTTTGGCCAATGTTTTTCATTAATGCCATATGCCACCGTGTGCTAACTTTGAAATGTTTTTGTCGAGGCACAGAGTCTTTATCTTGTGGGTTAGAAAATAAACAATAAGTGATCAGGAACCTATTAGGCAAACCTTTATAGAGAAGTTAAAAACAAATAATTAATATTATATAATCTTATCAGTAACAGACTATTTTTTGATTTTTTATTTAAAATACATCTACAATAGTACAATCTATACAAATTTTTGTACAATAATTAGATTTGATAAAAAAAAGAAGAGAATATAAAATGACGGCGAATATTAAGTTTGGGAAGTTATCCATTGATAACACCCAGCACGTGCGTTAGTTATTGACTAATGATTATTAATGTAAAAGACCCCTACACCAATTTTTTTTTAGTCTCCGYCGAGGGTTGTCGGGTAGAGTTTTAGATGATAATTTTTTGATTCGTGGATTAGTGTGTGATTGGAGTTTATTATGAAATCTGATGTAGTATGTTTTAGAGATTTGATTTAGGGTTARTATTTTTAAGTCTTTGTGAAGGTTGGAGTTTGTTATGTACCATGGAGCAGAAGAAACTAGACGGAGACAGATGGACTGGAAGGCTTGTATTGATCTGGTGTTGGAGGGTTTTGCGGTTTCCCATAATTGGATACCGTATGTCCATAGCGATCTGAGTAAAGACTTATAAATTAGTAATTTGGTGTCAATGTCCATTTTAGATCTCAATAGTGGTCTTAGGAGGTGTAGACGGGAATTAAGGGCCTTTCGTTTATCAACTATGTGAAGATTCCAGGTTAGTTTAGTGTCAAGGGTAACACCAAGGTATTTTACTTGTGTGYAGATAGGGATAACAGACTATTTAAATACTTATATGTGACTGCTCGTTGCACATTATAGTTAATATATTAGTATAAACATGTTAGTATGGTATAGTTACATGCCTAACACAGTGATACAATAATAAACAATTAACCCACATAAATATKAAATATTGTTATAATATTAAAAGCTTAAAACACTGTTTTATAAGCTAAAATAATCTACAATTTTTTAGATTCTAAGATAGTTACAATTACATTACTAAATCAGTGACATAGTGGATTATTACTTATAACTAGTTTGTTTACTTAAACGTAATGCTTCAATTTCTTCATTTTGTTGTTGTAACATTTTATTTCTTAAAAATTCAAAATTATCCATTTGATAATGACTTATCAAATAACTTAATAATACATGGCCAATGACAAATGCAGTAAGTCTGTTGTATAGTGGACGACTTATTTTCATTAAATGTAAAGCAAATTCTTTAACCATCTCAGGTCCTTTAGATTTTAAAGAATATGTATTCATTTTACTRGCAAACTAAAAGTATAAATAGTTATGATAGATTAATTATGATATTTTATTTAACAATAACAATCATAATGTAATGCTAAAAAAATGATTGAAGTGTAACACATATTTACCAAGTAAGTTCCACCAAYTGTGCTCAACCAAGGATAAACAATTCCTGTGCCTAATTGTATGAATGTTGATTGTGTACTAATGCAAATAGGACAATCTTCTTGTAAAATTATTGATTTAGTAGTCATCTATGAAATATAAGCTTTCAATCATTATTTTTGTAATGTTGGGTATAAGAATTTTGGTACATACTGAGCTTTGATAGATTTGATCAAAAATTGATGGGACAAGAACAATTGGTATGAACAAAGTAAATCGTCCATAATTTCTTAGTTGTAGTTTTTTGCGGTAAAAACTTAAAATTACTGAACTCGATATCACAACGGCTGACGAAAGAATTGGATTACCGTGTTTTAACGCCCATCTAAAAACGATAAAATTATAGTCAATGATTGATATTTGCGCAAAGTGATCGTCACTGACAATTCCATCGTATTTGGCCATTTGTGTATTAGGTTGATCATGTACTCTTGGACCTCGTCTCTCGTAAGACGAATGGCCCCCTTGGGGATTTCTTCGGGTTTCCCCCTTTCGATGTACATAGTGTTTAAACGGAGAGCAAGGTACGGAAAACAGGCTACTATGTAAGTACAAAAAAAAAGAACAGTCWATAGTCAGTTCTTAAACAGGCAGAAAAAAWTATGAAACCAAAAACACTATAAACAGTCAACTTCAATTTCCAATTTGTAGTTGTAGAAGACAGAAGAATAGAGTTTCGACTCAAGTATGCTGCACGCCGCCTCACCGGAAAACCGGACGCATGATCCCATAGAAAAGAGATTATGATCCGATAACAATATTTTGATAAACGAGTGCAGGGTTCACAAACATATTCTAAAAACACATTATACACATAAATAGTTATTCAACAATAGATAGCGTAGTATTTCGCAAAAAACAACCAATTGGCTATTGACAATATTAGACATCATTTTGGTGAATTATTTAAAATACTTATAAATTCCTCACTACTTTTTAGTGGAATTCCCATTAAGTTTATAACTCAATATATTTATAAAAAGTTTATATTTTTAAAATTCAAATATAATTATTACATATCACTCTAGTTCTAGGTATTATGTTTTAAAAGTAACACATTGTTCTGTGAAGTGTTCCAATTTTGTGTTGCTAGCTCAAATATATGTATTAGAGTCAATTGACCTATTATTATATAGGTTTTAATATTTTATTCTTGTATACATATCGATTTACATTAATAAATAATGAGCTTTATACCTCCTAAATACAAAAAAATAGTTTAATATAATTATTATTTAAAACATTAAACGGATTACGGATGTATACTATAAGGAACCGTATGGGTTTACGAAAAATCAACTAACGCGTTTTTCAACTTTTCGCTAGTCCGATTACGGACAAAATAATGATCGTACGCAGTACGCACTTCAAGCATAGACCCTTTTTGAATCGCCGTATGCCATTATATCAGGATTTTGAGTTTCGTAGTGAAAAGTGAACGAACGAAAACCTTAAATCCAAAAAGCATGAAACTATAGATAGAACGTTAGCAATTAGACTTTTGGTAATCGGATATGCAATAAACAYACAATTGAACTGACAAATTGACGATTGACGAATAATTATAGAATTTTGGGTGCCCCTGAATTTCCTTATCAAATATTGTTAGCGGACCGTACYACAGATAGTACTATCTAAAGCCGTGGTGCACAGAACAAACTTAATTCTCGAATGTGGGTCATCAGCATTGTTCTTATCTACATTTTGTAAAATTTACTCAACAGTTAACACTTATCACAAAATACAATCCACGATCATAATATCATATTATTGTTCAATGTTCTTGGCGATTCTATTGGCYTTTTATTGTTTTTTATATTGACCTTGCGTAGTTCATTTGGTTGTTGTTGCCTTCTATATAGTACCGTATTGCATGTAAAGTGTTGGCTAGTCAGTTGGCACAGTGTCCAGTACGCAACAGTCGACGTAATACCTATTATATAGTCAGAAATTTACTCTTAGTCACGACCAACGAACACTTCCTTGTTGTAGCTTGTTTGTGTTGAGTAGTCGATACTTCTAGAATACATTTTTGATTTTGATATTTTATACCCAAATTTAAAAAATGTTCAAAGTATACAATAAATTAAACCGCAACCAATTGAAAACACTAGAAGAATATAGGACAATTCAGAAAACCAGAAGGTATGTTGTTTTTTCCTTTGCAATTTTATTGCAATTTGTTGCACAACTGATTGAAAAATGTATCAGAAGAATTGCTATCTAAAATTCAACTTACAAACTAACAATAATTAATAAAAATAATGAGTTGGCTAATGATKGAAACTCAAACATTATTGGTGAACTTATTATTTCTGTCATGTATATTGAGTTTAATATTTGAATATTTATCCAATGTTTATCCTAAAGCATAAGTACAACTGTTGATAGATGAAATTGATTAACCTCTATACATCACATATTGAGTTTATTCAACTTTTTACTTTTGTGATTCAAAATAAAATCCATTTTAGTTCAGTTTTATAATTATGTAAAATAATATATTTATATATTATAGAGTTACTTAATTTACTTACTGAGGTAAATTTAAGATTAATTCAYATCAGTGGTAAGGTTAGGTTAGGTTAGGTATGACTTATTGCTGTTTTATTATTTATTTACTTATACTTTTACTACTAAATTTTTAATATAACAATTTTATAATATTAACTTCGTAATAATTAACTAAACATCAACATAATGTTATTATGGAGTTTATTAAAATAAAAATAAATTATCTCACTTGATGATGTAACATTGTCCTTTGTACTCAATCTTATATATTATTCATGATTAATTTGTCTTTGATGCATCATGCTTTAAATCTACTTTCACTATAAATAGAACAATGCCAATTTAATAATATTGACATACATATCAGGAAGTAGGGTAAAATTATTATTTATAAAAATAATGTTGTTAGGACATAGTTCAAAATATTTTCATCAATATAATAACTTAATCAAAACCGAAATTAATTTCATAATGAATACATTTTTAATTGTTGAGGTATATAATGTATATCTATTTAATTATATTATCTTATAATTAATTTTAATTGTTTACTTTGTTTTAGTTAATTATTATTTTTTAATAAAGAATGAAAAATTTWACAGAGTTATCTGAAATCAGGTCCATGTATTTTTAATACAAAATCACATTTTTATAAAGATAACTGATAAAGAAATATTTATAAACAGATAATAATATATATATATTTACAATAGAGTTTGGACAAGTACATATGTAATAATATTTTGATAATTATTAGGTATGCCTTATAATTTAAAACAAATACCAATTCAAAATTAATAATAACATGTTACCTATTATTTAATTTATCTTATACCAAAGAAGAAATTATTTAATTGATTAAATTATTTATATTTATAGTTGTATAACCAAACTCAGATATTATATGAATATGAAAATAATTTTTTTGTCTGTACCTACCTTGATATTAGTTTTTATTAATTCATAATTATGTTTAAATAGACTATTTTCAACGACTGCTTCTCGCTCAACAGAAAAATCCTCAGATTCAAAAAAAGATGTTAAACAGTCACAGTCCTTCACAATGAACCTGTTCCGTGGTCAATTACAAACTTCACAAGTTTTCCCATATCCAAACGTATTGAATGATGAACAAACAGAAACTTTAACAAGTTTAGTCGATCCTGTGACAAAGTTTTTCAAAGTATTAATTTAAAATTAATTTAAAAATTTGAAATCATTTATATTTATCAATTTATTTTTTTTCTAGGAAGTCAATAACCCACTCAAGAATGATGAGATAGAGACAGTAGAACCTAATACCCTCGAAGGGTTATGGGATATGGGTGCTTTCTCTTTACAAGTACCTCAAGACTTAGGTGGTTTGGGTCTCAGCAACACTCAATATGCTAGAATGGTAGAAATAGTTGGTGCTCATGATTTAGCTGTGGGTATTGTTTTAGGAGCACATCAGTCAATTGGATTTAAAGTAAATACTACTATCTACACTCTTCCTCTTATATTATGTTCAATATGGTTTAAAAACATATGATAAAATAACTCAATCATAATCTAATTTGAAATATTGTTTGAATATAACTGCAAACCAATTAGAATTTGTTTTATTCAGTGTACACAATGTTACTAAAGTTTTTAAGTAAGTTCCCTCARATTCACAAATTTTAAATTTTGTTTTGATACAAATAGATCAATTCATGAACCTTAAAAGGTTTGATTCTTTATATTTATGTTTCAGTAGTTCGATAAATTATTTTATGCTGCATTGAAAAGCACAAAATTTTTAGGAAAAAACATAGTGAATTAACAGATAAAAGATTCTAATATAATTAAAATATTTTAAATGMATATAAAAATGTCGGCTTTAAGAAAAATATAATTCAAATTGTATTTTATGTATATTTTGGATATCATTTACTAATCATTTAATAATAAATAATAATTATACTGTATTATAATATCTATTTAATGTACMATTGGAAGTATGTTGTTAATATACATACCCAAAATTTGATAGATTATTACTTCATTTATTTGTGCCATGGTATAACATATTTAGAATATTAACATCTAAAAATATAATCTATACAAACACTTTAGATCAACATTTTCAAGTTGTTACATAATTGTAATTTTAATAAAGAGTTTATTGCATATAATAGTTTAGTGAATTTATGATAAGTTTATTTTCCAATATATTATAGATAAAATTCTTTATAAATTCTTTCATTCAACCTATACAATGTGTTAATAATATTGTTAAGTTTTTTTTTCATAACTGTATGAAACTATATGAAATAAAAATGTTAATAATATCACTTAACAGTAAAGAATGTACATTTGYCTGCTAAAAATATTTTGGTGATTGGAGTTGAATTGACCAATTTGATATATGTACGAATATTTTATTTATTTTATATATTTTTCCATAAACTACAAATAAATTCTAAAAATGGCTTTTAAAGTTCTAGTTTAATTCTACTTTCAGTCTTTAGAAATGTATGTTACTTCTTTTGAGTTTCTTTATGAGCATAAAAATATTGCCAAAAAAACAAAGTTGCATGTATCAAAATTATAAGTACACTTCGTTGTACATACTAAGACCAACCTATTTTGTTCACCATCTATAAAAATATCTAAACTATAATATTTAAATTATATAATATTAAATAATAAAAATTACTATTGATAATATTTTCTTAACAAACATTGTATTATAAATTATAATGAAAGATATTTTTCTAATTGAAAAATAAATTGTGGTTTTTAATAATTACAGGGAATTTTGTTATTTGGAACACCTGAACAAAAAGCTAAATATCTCCCCCGAGTGTCCAATAAAGAATTTGCCGCATTTTGTCTGACTGAACCATCATCTGGTAGTGATGCTGGCTCAATCAAGTATGTTTTTGTAAATAATGATATTATCATTGTTATGTATTATATTGTATTATAACAATTTTAGAACCCGAGCAGTCTTATCTCCTGATGGTAAACATTTTATTCTTAATGGAAATAAAATATGGATTAGTAATGGAGGAATGGCAGAAATAATGACAGTATTTGCACAAACCCCAGTAAAAGACGAGAAGACTGGTAAAACAGTTGACAAAGTGACCGCCTTTATTGTGGAAAGAGCATTTGGTGGTGTTTCAAACAGTCCACCAGAGAAGAAAATGGGCATCAARGCTTCAAACACAGCCGAAGTGACTTATGAAGATGTCAA